TGCCTCCATGCTTGCCACGCTTGGCATATTTCTTTGGCCTCTTAAGTTTAGACTGATAGGGAGCCTTGTTTCCTATGTTACCTTTATTGAGTTTCAAACCTGAGTTTGAACTCGAAAAATTGGCCTCGTGAAAGGATTTAGAAGCCTCTAAGCGTTCATCCTCTAACTCAAGATAACGTGATATTTCTTCAAATCTTTTCACATTTTCACTGTGCGTCATCTGAACCTTCATATGATCCCAATTTTCAGGCAACGAGCGGAGAACAGCTTGGACTTTCTGTTTATTAGACATAATCTGACCAACATTTTTGAGCTCTCTAATCATGTTTGACATGATTTTAAGATGTTGTCTCATCGATTGATTTGGACGTTTCTTATAATCATTAAACTTTTGACTAAGTCTCCTAAGTTTGGCAGTCGATGTGGCACCAAACTTATCATTCAAGTCCTCCCACATGCCTTTCGAAGTTTCATACTCTTCAAACTCACACATGATATTAACTTTCATACAACTCGACACTGTGATGCAAGCGATGTTATTGTTTCTTTTCCAGGCAACATATGCCTCCTGATCTTTCTCATGTTGAGCCATAGTACCCTGCTCAGGCTCTTTCATGTGATGGAAAAGAGTCTCCTTAACCTCTTGCTCCTTGAGGACATACTGAACTTTCTGATACTAAATATCATAATTGCCACCATCAAATTTGTCTCTTCGGTTGAGCTCAGCAATGATGTTCTAACAAGCAGACGACATACCTATTTGAACATCTAGACACATTACTTTCTTTCCATACTTTTAACATATAACCTATAATTTTGCAATGAACACAAACTAATCTAAAATAACTCGATTTATAATACCAGATCGAGAGTTCACTAAGTTCCCAATCATCATTCGTACTATAAATTTTATTACAATAAATTAATTTGCTCCATGCAAAATTTTAAGTTCTAAACAAATTAGAACTCCCACTTGATCAAAGTATTTTTAAACATGAATTAACAAATAACACATGTATTAAAAAATGATTAAATCATATTATTTTTTCGGGTACTGTTAATCATCTTCCTAAAAGAGATTATTCAACAGCAATTGTTCAAAACTTTCGACCCTAATATCTCTCTATATACGTAACCAAATCATGCGTTATATATATGAACTGAAAGATAATTTCAATATCTACGCATGGAAACTAAAATCATGTAATTCCAAATTTTAAACAGAGAGATATAAACGAAACAATATTTCTGGTTTCTCACGATTTTTCTAATTTCATGCAATCTATTGCGGTTCTCTAAGTGCTATTTTCCATAATCATTCAAGCCTCTATATGACGAACATTTATGCAGAGTTTCAATTCAATTTCATCATATATTCAAGAATTCACCATTTTTAATCAGTTAAGTATTAACTATTTTCTTCAATTCATCATGAATGAGTGTGACTAACATATAGTTGTTTTAATTCATGATTACTACGAACATAATTATTCCAGATTCGTATCCTAATGCTCTGATACCAATGTAAAAGTTTTATGCGGAATCATTTAAATCGAAGACATAGCTTTGCCTAGTTTAGCCATGAATATGACTTAGTCTGATCTAAAAACGGACGCAGAGATCGGAGAAGAGATCACAGATGGAAATTAACCACTTATCACCGTTTAAATGCCCTTCCAATTGATCTCTCCAAACTTTTTGTCTCTAAAAATGTTTTCTCTCTCCTCTCAGAGTGGTGCCTAGAGCTATTGAAACCCTAGACGGTATAACAAATGCCTCAATTCATAGAAAATTAATAATAACTATTAAATCAAGCTTACGTCTACTCTATATTTGAGGAAAACTAATAGTAGTTACTAGTTAACAAATATTATAATAAAATGATATTTACCAATTGATTATGATTTTGTTTGTAAATGTAGAAGAACAAAAAATAAACATAGTGTACATTATTTTTTGTTGAAAAGAGCTAAAGAGGCGAATGTAAAAACTGAAAACAATTGATTATATGAGATCGTGTATATTACCCTATTTTCCTTTTCCAATGTTTCTTACTATTTCTGAAAATTTTCATAAACTATTTTGATTTTTTTTTTGGTCGAACCATTAACTATTTTGATTACAAATTGTTTTACAGCTCTGAAATATTTAATACAATAAAAAATGGACTCTTAATATTTTCATAAAAATATGGACCCGTAAGCCAATGTTTCATTTTATTACATATAAGCACGGGCATGTCTTTTCTGTAGCTTCTTTGTTTATTAACAGTCACCAACTGGTATAAACAAACACTTTCTTCTCTATGCAATGTCTCATATATATATACTTAATGAAGAAACACAATCTGTTGAATCACAACTCTTCATATATATGGAAAGTTATAAGAACCAATTTCTCATAACTATTGGTTTAATTAAACCAATTCAGTATGCTGCTAAATTATTAGTGCAAACCGACCATATATCAATATTAATAAAAAAAAACGAATGGGAAAAAATTGACACGAAGGAAAAAACGAGAAAGATATACAACCATATAATCATGCGAGAAGATAAAAAAAATAGGATTGTAATTTAAAGGACATTGACTATTAAAGTCCCCATAGAACATGTATTTGGTCGTATTTATGTCTCCATTCAATTGAATAAATAAAAAAATAAATCAATTCTTCAACATTTAAATGAGAGATGTATGCAATATTGTTTTTCAAAATATGGTTGCGATATGTTTTTTGATTCCCTTATAAAATGACCTTATATTTTGTGTATTTCTTCATGATAAACAGTGAAGACGTTTTTAAAATACGTCGTGAGGTCACAAACTAGGCAATCAACAAATAGTTCTAGTACTGAACAGTATAATTCTGCAACTTCTTGAGCATGTGTAACTACCCTAACCCAACACAAGAATTTGTATACGGTTCATAAGGAAAAATGAGTCAAGTTAATGGTTTAAACTTGCAAAACATTTTTGTAATCGCGTTTGAATATGTCTCGTGTGATCTCTTTTCCTAAGAAAAGAAAATTACTGTTCTAAAACCTCCAGAAAAGTGAATATTTTACGTTTTACTGATCCATTGTAAGATACGCTCTCTAATATGGAACAAAAAAAATCTTGCCAGATTTGCATACATGATCCATGCCAATCAGCACTGTTAGCAGAATTATAGAAAATTTTCATGAAACAATCACGTGATTTATCAGCAAATAGTAAAATCTCAGTGTGTAGCAAAACCAAAAAGGTTTCTTGATCCAGAGCCACCAACCAAAATACATATGTATTAAGACACGTTGACATCGTTTCAGATTTCCACCTACTTAAAAAAAAAAAAACATTTACACGATATTTCATAACTCCCTCTCATTTTAAATTAGTTTTCATTTTTTACTCTAGATATTATGATAAATGTAGGCGACTCTAGATATTTTGCTTGGCTGTCGCGATTATTGGTTTACATATATAGACGTGGACGAGGTAAATGAGGTATTTTAGCTTATGGTACAAATTTATTTTGTTTGACTATTGCGAAAATCTGTTTATAATCAGGATACATTTAGACGTGTATATGGTTCAAGTACATACATTTTCAACTTTTTTTTTTAAGGATATAATACATATGAACATATCTAGTTATCCACGACAAAGATCCTTACCAAAAAGAACAAAAAAATAGTAAATTAGTAACTATCCATTTTAAACCGAGTTACACAAATTGATCCGTTTCAACGTTTTCTTTTAAGTTCGTCCAGCCTAAATTACTCAAAAATTAATAAATATAAAATATGGTGATATCTTATTTCCAAATATGGTCTCTTTTGTTAGTTTTTTATGGTCTCTTTTGTTAGTTTTTTTATAGCCTCTTTTGTTAAGTTTGGTATAACTTACATAAGAGTCGCTGATTTAATTATCCATTCAGATCTATCTATCATACTAATACAGTTATATGTATGAGCACTTTGGTTCGGTTTTGATTCAGTTTGTATTTTATTTTATAGTTTATCGGTTTTATAGAAATTCAAACCATAAAAAACCATTTACATTTCGGTTTGGTATGGTTTTTTTTTTTTTGGTTTTTCGATTTTATAAAAAATGAAACCATCGATTGCAGTTCGGTTTTGTTTGATTATGGTTTTTCATAGTTTATTTTATAACTTTCAATCATTCATTGGGAGATAAACAAAAAAATCTAGAAAATACACAATCTCTTAAGATTAGTTTTCATTAAAAAAAATTTTTGAATTGATGCCACTAATTTCTAACTCCCCTCAATATCACGTGAAAAACACACACAAACATGTTAAAGGGTTTCTATGTTTTGTTTAGGGTTTCTATATATATAGACCTTTTTAAAAAAATCTTAAATTTTAAGTTTATAAAGTAAATATATTGATAAGTCCTTTCTTGTCAAATGAAGAAAGGAATCCAAAAAAAAAAATAGATTTTTTAAATTTTGATTAAGAACCAAAAGAAAAATATTTTGTACGGTTTTAAACCAAACCAAATCAAAATCAAAATTTAATAAAAATGATAACGAAATGGGTTATTCAGTTACACTATAACCAACCAAAATCACTTATTTTGGTTTGTTCGGTTTTGGTTTTTAGCTTATGGGTTTTTTTTTGCCCACCCATTATGTACAAAGTAAACATAACTTATGGATTCATATATTCCCCACATTTTCCCTTGTTCTTTCCAAAATAAATAAATAAATAATACTATCATTTGTTGACAAAAAAATATTAATAGTAATGCTTAATGAATCCTTAAAAATATATCCACCTCTATAAATTAAGCCACCGGAAGGCTCTTCCCACAGACTTCATATACCCCAAAAAAAAGTCATTAAGAACCAAAAGAAATATTAAAGAAAATATGTCAGAAGAGGAAGTGGTTGTGTTGAACTTCTGGCCAAGCATGTTCGGAGCAAGAGTGATCATGGCGTTAGAAGAGAAAGAGATCAAGTTCGAGTACAAGGAAGAAGATGTGTTTGGTCAAAAGACCGATCTATTACTCCAAACCAACCCGATTCACAAGAAGATTCCGGTTCTCATCCACAACGGTAAACCAGTATGCGAGTCCAATATCATACTTGAATATATCGATGAGGTCTGGAAAGGCGATAAGACGCTCCATCTACTACCTTCTGATCCTTATCAAAAGGCACAGTGTAGATTTTGGGCTGATTTTATTGACAAAAAGGTACTATTTTATATTTCTTTTTTTTATCTATTATCAGTGTTGTAGGGCATGTAGCTTAACTAGTGGTGTATGTTAACGATATCATTGTGTTACTATCCGGATTTAACAGATTTGGATATTTTGAAATGTCTAGATCTAGGTTCGAGCAATAACTATATGGTGTGATTTTAGTTATCCGTCCAAACATTTGGATCCATTAAAAATTATGAAATACTTAAAAGTTGAAAAACTTTTAAAGAAGTTGTATTTTTGAATAGAAAATATTATATATTATGAAAAAAGAAAAGTATATTACCATATTTATCTTTACTATAACGATTATTTTATTTTTTTAGTAATTTATAATATATTTATCAGATAATATATATGGATCGGGAATAGAGCTAGTAGCCACGTCAGCATAGGGTGATTTCTAGGGCGATCGAGTTTCTAGGGTTTTTGAAGTTTTCCGCCCACGTTAGGGCATGTCGGCGCCAGAGCAGGCGCCTCTTCCGCCGGCGGAGGGTGCGGGATTGGAAGAGGGAGAGATCGGGATTGTTGGGGAGGTCATTGAGGAGTCTCAACCCGATGGGAGAGAGACCCAAGGTTTAGGGCAGGAAAAACATGTGGGTGAGTTGGATCGTAAGGAATCTCCGGAGGTGAAGGAGGCTGTCTCGACGAGTCTTAAAGAAGTGGTGGGAGTGGAGCCAATCGGGAAAACTTGGTCATCTGTGGTGGCTGAAAAATCTCGATTGCAGAAGTACGAGGTCGTAGTGGAAGAGGTTGACGGGGTGGAAACAATACAAGTCCCGGATGATGTTTTCGACAATGCTCCACCGCTCTGGGAAGATTGCATAATTGGGAAATTTGTTTCTAAAGCTCCTCATGTGGGGTTTATTCACATGACGGTAAACAAGATTTGGACGCTGGGTTCTAAAACCATCAAAGTAGATGTTTTTGTGGTGGATGACACCACTGTTAAGTTCAAAATACCAGATGCATCGATTAGAGCTCGGGTACTTCGACGTGGAATGTGGAGCATCAAAAACATTCCAATGATGGTTTCAAAATGGAGCCCTTATTTGGAGGAAGTCCAACCGGAGGTGCGTTATCTTCCGATGTGGGTCACTCTTAGGAATGTCCCTCGATCGATGTTTACGTGGAAGGGTTTAAGCTTTCTCACCAGCCCTCTGGGTGAGCCAAAAAAGCTTCATCCTGACACGCTTTGGGCTAAAAGCTTTGAAGAAGCGAAGGTGTTTGTGGAGGTAAACTTGAGCCAGAAGTTACCTGAAAGCTTTAGTTTCAAATCAAAGAGGGGTGTGGATACTATAGTTCAGTATGAGTTCCCATGGCTCCCACCGAGATGTGTGTTGTGCGCGAAGTGGGGTCATGAGAAAGCTGAGTGTAAAGCCCAGCCTGGTGATAAGACAATTCTGCAGAGAGGCTCACCTCTGAAGGATTGTGTAACTGGTGGAAGCAAAAGTATCAACGTCTCGGGTGCTCTTGCGGTGGTGTCTGATATAAGTAAGGGTAAGGGCAAGGAGTTGGCTCAGGATACAAATGTGGTGGAATCTGCAAAGAGAGGTGAAGGTACGAGTTCATGCAATGTATCTGATGATAGATAAATGCAGATAGTGGGATGGCGAATGTGGTAGCTGAATCTCCGACTAAAGCTCGTTCATGCTCGGGTATTGGAGGGGAGAGCCTGAAAACTGTTGGTGCGGAAAGCTGGCAAGCCGCAAAGTCCCCAGCGAAATCTGCACGGTATTATAAAAAGGTGGAGGAAGAGGGCATAATTTCGGCTTCGAGATATGTCTCGTTGTCGGGCTCTCATGTAGGGTTGGAGGAGGAGCATGAGGAAAATACAGTACGAGATTCTGATCAGGAGCCTGAGTCGAAGAGTATGGTGGCTCACGACAATAAAGAGCTTGACCAGGTGAATGAAGGTGGTCGTGTCTCTCTTCCGCGAGGATCAAAGACTGCACACAAGTTTGTTACTGCTCCTCCTGGTTCGGCTTCAAAACAGAAGTCGGGAAGGAGGAACAGGAGGAAGAACTCAAAAGCAAATCATTAATGTCAGGTTTCTTTTGGAATGTGAGGGGTTTTAACAAACAAAAAAAACATAATGTTGTCAAAAAATGGTGTCGGGAGCAGGATTTCTCATTTGGAGCGTTGATCGAAACTCGTGTAAAGGAGAATAAGGCATTGGATATTGTATCGGAGGTCTTTCCGGGATGGTCATTCCACCATAATTATGATCATCATAGACTGGGGAGAATTTGGGTAGTATGGCGAGACTCTGTTAACTCGCCTGTGTTTAAAAGTAATCAACTGATTACTGTGTTAGTGAAACTGCAGGGGCATGAGGATGAGTTTCTGTGTAGCTTTGTGTATGGTTCAAATTTCATCGAAGATAGAAGGGAGTTGTGGAATGAGCTTCGCAGTCATTTCGTGTCACCGGTGTATGGTCGTTTACGGTGGCTGGTTATGGGGGATTTTAATGAGAGTTTATCCATGGAGGAGCACTCTGACTTAGATTCAGGGCCTGTGTCTCAAAGTGGTATGTGGGATATTCAGGATTTGGTGCGAGATGGGGATTTAAACGACATGGGGTATCATGGACCAACCCTTACATGGTGTAATAAGCGATCAGCGGGTCTAGTCTGTAAAAAACTTGACCGTCTTCTAATGAATGCTCATTGGCTTGATCGAAATCCACAGTCTTACTGTGTATTTGAATCTGGTGGCTGTTCTGATCATTTGAGGTGTCGATTTTACATTGATGGGGGGTCATCTAGGCCCAAAAAACCTTTTAAATTCACGAATGTGGTAGCAAAGCTCCTGGAATTTCAGTCAGCTTTGCAGGACTATTGGGAAGGAACAACTCCTCTGTTTCATTCTACTTCAGCTCTCTTTAGATTCTCTAAGAAGCTTAAATTCTTGAAACCAGTGGTGAGGCAGGTGTCTCGCGCTGCTCTCCATGATATTTCGAAGCGGGTGCAAGAACATTTTGTTGATTTGTGCGCCAAACAAGAACAGATCCTGGTGAGTCCTTCTTCGATGGCACAACAGGAGGAAAGTGTGGCTTTTGTTAAATGGGAGGATTCAGCTAACCTGGAAGAGAGATATCTGGCTCAGAAATCTAAGCTTAATTGGTTGAATGTGGGGGATAAGAATACCAAATTCTACCACAGAGCGGTGACAACAAGAGCAATTAGGAATGGAATTCGGGAGTTACAGACATCAGAAGGGCAATTGCTTAGTGGGTGTTCTGAAATCAAGGAGGAGGAGGTAAACTATTTTAAGTCTTTTCTGAAGCATCGACCGGATGTTTTTCGAGAGGTAATGGTTGCGGAGATCCAGGACTTGATTGAATTTCGATGTTCAGCTGAGGATCAAGGGAAGCTTATTGCAGAAGTTACTTCTGCGGAGATAAAGACAGTGTTATTCTCGATGGCAGCAAACAAGTCACCTGGACCAGATGGTTATACGGTTGAGTTTTTTACGGAGAGCTGGTCAACGGTTGGAGAAGATCTAGTGGTTGCAATTCAGTCCTTTTTTCAGAAAGGGTTTCTTCCTAAGGGACTTAATTCTACGATACTAGCTTTAATTCCCAAGAAGGAACAAGCGATATTTATGAAGGACTACCGACCTATTGCATGTTGTAATGTGCTGTATAAGATCATCTCAAAGGTCATTGTGAATCGGTTAAAAACTCTGCTTTCCAGGTTTATTTCTCCGAACCAGACAGCGTTTATACAGGATCGATTATTGCTTGAGAATGTCTTGCTGGCTTCTGAGCTTGTAGATGGATATCATAAGAGCTCGGTTTCACCCCGATGCGCATTGAAAATCCACATTTCCAAAGCTTTCGACTCAGTCGAATGGAGTTTTCTACTGACTGTTTTTGAAGCTTTGAATTTTCCAGCTGAGTTTATTCATTGGATCAGGCTATGTATTTCGACAGCGTCGTTTTTGGTTCAGGTTAATGGCGAACTAGCTGGGTATTTTGGGAGCTCGAGAGGGTTGAGGCAGGGTTGTTCTTTATCCCCGTACTTATTTGTTATATGTATGAATGTCCTCTCTAGCAAACTTGACCAAGCGGCGAGGGTGAGAGGTTTTGGTTTTCATCCTAAGTGTTCGAATTTGCAGCTTACGCATCTCTGTTTTGCGGATGATCTTATGATTTTTTCTGATGGGAGTCTGAGATCGCTTGAAGGGATAGTCAAGGTGTTCGAGGAATTTGCTGAGATTTCAGGGTTACAAATAATTATGGAGAAATCAACCCTTTATCTAGCTGGAGTTAAGGATGATGTTCGACAAGCTATAAGTCAGAAATTCTCTTTCGAAGTGGGATCGCTTCCGATACGCTATCTTGGGTTGCCTTTGTTAACAAAACAGATGCGATCTTTGGATTATACCTCATTGATTGACAAGATTAGATGCAGAATGAACTCATGGACAGCGAGACACTTGACATTTGCAGGTCGATTGCAGCTTCTAACCTTGGTTATTGCGAGCCTGCTGAATTTTTGGATGCAAGCTTTTCGTTTACCGAAAGGATGTATATAGCAGATCGATAGCCTCTGCTCTGCTTTCTTATGGTCGGGTCCAGAACTTAAGCAGAGGAAGGCTAAAGTTGCTTGGGTTGATGTGTGCAAACCAAAACGGGAAGGAGGTCTTGGGTTGAAAAATCTAAGTGTGGCCAATGATGTGTTTGTGTTGAAGCTTTTTTGGCGAGTGCTAACATCATCCTCTTCTTTATGGGTTCGATGGCTGAAGGTGAATCTTATGAGGGGAGAGTCTGTGTGGTTAACGCCTGAACCTACAAGTCAATCTCCGGGTTCTTGGATGTGGAAGCAAATCCTGAAGTGTAGGCAACAAGCGGAGGAATTCATTAAAGTGGAAGTGCGCAACGGAAGATCAGCTCTATTTTGGTATGATAATTGGTCCTCTTATGGAAAACTTCTATCGTCCCTGGGAGCTCGGGGGTGTGTTGATCTGGGCATACCTCATAGCTGCACGATGGAAGAAGTAATTCAAACTCATCGGCGACGCAACCATCGCGTACAGCGATTGAATGATATCGAAGATGCGCTAGACAAAGAAAAACAGAAATATAATGAATCAGAATCGGACATTTTCAGGTGGAGAGCCAAAGGAGATGTTTTCAAGGACGATTTTAGCACCAGGAACACAAGGGATCAGTTGCGTACCTCGCCACGAGTTCCCTGGTTTGCTGGAATCTGGTTCAAACATCATAGTCCAAAGTTGAGTTTTATTGCTTGGCTAGCTTTGCGGAACAGGCTATCGGGTGATAGGATGCAGGCATGGAATCAGAACATTTCATCGGAGTGTGTTTTTTGCAGAGAGCCTGTTGAGACTGTTACTCATATGTTCTTCTCTTGTCCTTTCTTGCAAAGGGTCTGGAGGAACTTCGCAAGTGGTATACTGAAACATGAATTCTCAGTGGATTGGCACATACTGATTAATCTGATCTCCAGGCCCCAGAAGTGTAGAGTTGCAGGGTTTATCATCCGGTATCTCTTCCAATTGTCGATTCACACATTGTGGAAAGAAAGGAATGATCGGAGACATGGCCAGAGACCCATGGAGTGGAAGCGAGTAGCAAAAAGCATTGATAAAGGGCTGAGAAACCGGCTAAGCGCAATCAGTCTATTGGGTGATGGACGATACGAAGGCGGCATGCAACTGTGGTTTGCTTCCAGACCACATACTTAGCTTGGCGACAAGGGGTTTAAATATCTTGTAATATAATTCTAGAATTTATCTGCTCGCATCACTGTTGGGGTCGGTTTTACCCCAAGCAGATAAAACCATCTCAAAGTATTGGAGAAAACCGATTTGGCAAGAAGGAACAGCTGTCCCACGAAACAAATGGGCCGAGCTGTCCCACGAAACAAGTGGGTCGAGCCGTGCTCATCAAGACGAGTGGACCGAGCCGTGGAGAAGGATAGATGGGCTGAGCCGTGAGAAGAACGAAGAGTGGGCCGAGCTGCGCAAGAGGAAGCATGGACCGAGCCGCTTTCCTTTGTGTTGGGCCAAGCCAGTTTTTCCAGACAGGCCGAGCCGAAGTCTCGAAGGGCGAAAGCCCATAAGAACCCTAGGCGAGGCATTGTGACGGTGGCCGCACGAAGCGATAAGAAAATATTCCAAAAATCTCTCCCGAGATTCTCGGCTAGGTGGTTTAGAAAGTTAGTATAAATAGACAATGTATGCAATTCATTCTGTAACTTTTCACAACTCGAGAGTAATAAGACTTAAACACTTTTCAGCAAAAAACCTTCTTTTGATCTTACTGTTCTTGCGATAAATCCCTAGAAATTTTGGATCCTTTAAGTTTTCCTTAGCAAATTTTTGGTTGTGCGAGTTTTGGCTCACACATCATTGATGTAGAAACGCTTTTTTTTCTGGTTCGAATAAATTTAACATTCATCCAAAAAAAAAATATAATAATATATATATATATATCCGATGACGACATATCCAAGATTTCAGTATTCGATATAGACACTCATATTTTAGAGTGAACTATAAATAATTAATATAATATTTAGAATTTCTAATAATTAGTTTACGCTAATATATGAACGTTCATTTTATTTTATGTGTGGTCGAAACTCGAAACAAATTTTGTTTGTGAAGATATTCATGTTTCGGCCAAATCTTGTCTAAAGGAAAGAAGTTATAAGAATAGTTATTTATCAAAAAAAAAAAAGTTATGAGAATAATAGATTTGGCAAAAAACACAACATAAAAAATTTATGTTGAGATGTCTAATTTATTTAGTTGTAATAAATATAAGATCGAGAAAAATAATTGAGAAAACAAAAACGAGATATGGTATCAAGTGGGTTGAAGTTCTACTGAAAGAAATATCAACGAAAGAACCGATAAACCTTTGTTTCTTTCTCACTAATATATAAAATACGTACAGGTATTTGACGCAGGAAGAAGAACTTGGACTAAGAAAGGCAAAGAACAAGAAGAAGCGAAACAAGAGTTCATAGAGACATTAAAAATCTTAGAAACAGTGCTTGGAGAGAAGGTCTACTTTGGCGGAAACGACACCATTTCGATGGTCGACTTGGTCCTCATCTCCTACTACCCTTGGTTCCACACGTGGCAGACAATAGGTAGTTTTAGCCTAGAGTGTCACGCTCCCAAGCTAATGGGTTGGGTCCGTAAATGTTTAACCCGACCGGCTATCTCTAAATCTTTACCTGACCCGGTAAAGATCCTTGATAGAGTCTCTCAGATCATTAAGGTCCATGAGTTCTTCTATGGTTATTGATATTTCAATGTTTTTTCGGTTTTAAATAAAATAATGGGGTGAGTCCTGAGTGTGGATGTGAACACGTACGCAACTTTCATTTGAGGTGGTGGTGTGAAAAAAAATTATATGTTTCATCTGATTTTTTACATCAAACCAGTTTATTAGTCTCGAGATACTTTATACTCAAACCTTTTAATGTTATTTAGTTCTGATGTTGAAAAGGATTTTTTTAATGTTATTCAATCTTATAAAGTTTTGTTATATATTTTAATTAAAAAAATTAATTATATACCCAAAATTTCATTATCATATACCTAATTTCTTAGAAAAAATCGCATTTTAAACCTTTAAAGTTAAATTTACTAATACTTTAAACTTTAGAAATTTATTAGTGACACTATAAACCATAAAATTACCAAAACTAACACATTAAACTTTGAAATTTAACTCTAACTTTGCCCCGTCGAAATTGTTAACGGAAAAATTAACTCCGTCAACAAAACATTTAACTCCATTCCATTTAATAAAATATACTGATTATTTTAATCATTAAAAAAAAACATGAGTCTCAATGAAAACAAGAACCCGACGACCTAAAAATAAAAAATAGAAATTCACAAATCGATTTCTTGTGTGTTTTATTTTTATTGTTGGAATTGAACTTGTTGGGTTTTTCTCTTCCTTATTGGTTTGATTAAGTGCTTTAGCCTGTAATTAGATGTGTATCCTTCTATGTTTTTTTCCAGCAGGTCTCGTCTTTCAGAGAAATCAAATCTAATGATTGAAAGTTCTATATATTCATAGCTTCATATGAGAACTGATTCTGAAAGCGATAGAGCAGCTTGGTTACAAGCTTTGGCTTCTACAAAATGCGTCTTTCCTCTTCGGTCATTTAATGGGGATTTATCCTTCACACCCCAAAGGATTTGTCCATATCTAGACATTTAATGTGTGTCCTTATAGACATGTAATAAAAAATACAAAAATTTTATATACCTATTTTTTATATATATATATATATATATATATATATTTCTATACTATTATTTAAGCAGCCATTTTGTAAAATATTACATGAATATCACTATAAATAAAAAGAACTAATTGAAATAGGAAATAATAGAAATGTCTTTTGAATTTATTAAAGAGATTATGATCCGAAGAATATTTAGTTTCTTTACTTATTAATAAATTTAAATATATTCTATTATTTTAAATATTAATCAATTCATATATATCCCAAAACAAACTATTAAAATTCTGCAATATTTTTCATTTAGATTTTTATAACTAATTTGTATTATACTTGAAAATCCATTCAATAACATTTTAAAAAAGTAAAATATGGTTTCAAGCTTCAAAATTGTAGTTCTTTGCGGATTGTTCTACAAACATTATAGTTTATTATGAAATAGATTAAATACATGGATTAGTCTGTTTTGATAATCTATATATATATTCATTAATAAGATATATTATAGAATTCATTAAGAAAAAGTGATAACATGATCTCAAATAAAAAAATCACAATCAAATTTCTATTCTACCAATTCATGTTGATAAGTATATAATATATATATATATATAATCATTAATAAGACATATATATATATATATTACATTACATCACTTTCATATTTAAAATTAGTTATATATTAAATCTCACATCGATGAAATAATTTCATTAATATGATGTTTAACCAACTAGAGTGTATAAGTAAATATTAATTTTGTAACATTTATATATACATAGTTAGTTTACATGCTAACCAATCTTAACAAAAATTTTAAAATTAAAATTTTAAATAATTTAAAAAATATTACCAGACACTGTGTGTGCGAGTTAATTTGTAGTATATATATATATATATAATCTCTAGATGGAGACAATTCAGCCATCTTTTTACATGTAAAAAATCTAAAATCATATACCTTATTAACCAGTCAATTACTTATATATATATATATATATATATATATATATAACTCACTAAATGCAGGATAACTCAGTATATTTAGTAGATAAATCTGTCATCCAACACCAAGATTTGATAAAGTGGCCAACTGGATACCTCTGTGTAAGATCTATTCTTGAACTCAAAACACAGAGGTATAATCTTTCCACTGTCGTGGCTCTGATCACTATGCTTTAACAACCTAATAAATTTATTTTTGAAAGGTTATTACAAAAAGAAAGCAAGAATTAGTATGAGTAAGTTAAGATTGTTCACTAGACTCTGGAACTCGCTTTTGGAAGGTTACGACGTCTAGCTCACCAGATACTAGATTGAGTAATCAACAACCTTTTTGAATGTTAATTAACCCAAAATCATTCGCTGGTTAGCTACTCCAGCTCCTGCATTTATAACAAGTAAACACGAAAAACCATAAGATAAACTGATTTAAACAAGTTGATATCAAATTAACTTGTTATGCACTTATTGAAAATCCTATAACCTAATAAGTGAATTACTCACACATGGTGATGATAACAGCATAGAGATATTGAAAATAATTCATAACTTTATTAAAGAGATAAAAGTTTAGAAAGATCAAACTGAAAATCCTTGAACAAAGGTGAGAAAACTTCTCTTAAAATCTCTTTGAATAAAAAAAATGAATAACAATGAAGAAGAAAGGCCTTGGCCGATTTAGAGTTTATTATAGGGTTTAGGTTAGAAACAAATATATATAGTTCTAAATCCGTTATAGGGTTTTATTAAAGAGAAAAAGAAAGTTTGGGCAGAGCTTGGCCCCATTTCGACATGTCTTCTGTAAAACCAACGTATCTTCTTGACCGCTAGTCCGATTGACTTCAAACCAGTTTAATATAAGAGATGACTCAAAGATTACTAAATATTCATCGCAATCCATCACCGGGAAGGCATCCGTAAACAATAAAACATCTGATGCTGAATTGCAGCTCCCTTGAGAAAGTCCACCTTCATGGTTTCTTGGTACTTGGCTGATCTTGTGGACTGGGAAAGATGTCTTCGACATGGTTTATGTTTTAGGGTTCAGGTTTAGGGTTTATGGTTTAGGGTTTAGAGTTTGCTATGAATTAACCTTACGACATACCTATTTGAACATTTAGAGACATTACTTTCTTTGGATACTTTTAACATATAACCTATAATTTTGCAATGAACACAAACTAATCTAAAATAACTCGATTTATTATCGAGAGTTCACTAAGTTCCCAATCATCACTCTTACTATAAATTTTATTACAATAAAGTAATTTTCTCCATGCAAAATTTAAGTTCTAAACAAATTAAAACTCCCACTTGATCGAAGTATTTTTAAACATGAATTAACAAATAACACATGTATTAAGAAATGATTAAATAAATTTTTTTTTGGTACTGTTCATCATCTTCCTAAAAGAGATGATTCAACAGCAATTTGTTCGAAACTTTGGACCCTAATATCTCTATATACGTAACCAAATCATGCATTATATATATCAATCGAAGTATAATTTCAATATCTACGCACGGAAACTAAAATCACGCAATTCCAAATTATGAACAGAGAGATATAAACCAAACAATATTTCTGGTTTTCTCATGATTTTTCTAATTTCATGCAATCTATTGCGGTTCTCTAAGTGCTATTTTCAAGAATCATTCAAACATATATGACAAACATTTATGCAGACTTTTAATTCATTTCATCATATATTCCAGAATTCATCATTTTCAGTCATTTCAGCATTAACCATTTTCTCCAATTCATCATGAATGAGCGTGACTAACATATAGTGGTTTTAATTCATGATTACCATGAACGTAATTATTCCAGATCTGAATCCTAATGCTCTGATACCAATGTAAAAGTTTAATGTGGAATCGTTTAAATCGAAGACATATCTTTGTCTGGTTTAGCGATGAATATGACTTGGTATGATCTGAAAACGGACGTAGAGATCGGGGAAGAGATCACAGATGGAAATTAACCACTTATCACCGTTTAAATGTCTTTCCAATTGATCTCTCCAAGCTTTTTGTCTCTAAAAATGTTTTTGTAAGAACGAGAATATGAACATGCAAGAAAAATTAACTGAACAATCGAATGGATTCCGAAAATTATGTATTTTTTTATTAGAAATTACTTAAACACACTTTTTACAAGTTGTTTAATCAGAATTACGCAACGTCAC